TAGTACTATAATACTTGTATTAAATACGGCATATGTTTATTATCAAGTATGCATAGAAATAGGACGACTTTTTAAAATCAAATACGCAGTGTTTGAAGAAACAAAAACTGGCAATGACATTTTAAATTTGACAGATGTCGTCTGTAAGATAATTGATAACTGCGTATACCAACCGATGTTGCATTTGCATTTTCGTCAATATCCATAGACCCGCCGATGAAAGCTCCATCCAATCTCGGACTATAGTTGAAGTTTTTGTAATTAAATATATTACCGGCATCTAAAAATATCAATAAGTTCTTTATTCGTTATTTATACATTATTATTATTATTAGATTATCTTACCATGGTCCACTGTAATTTGTTTACAATATTGACCAATGGGACACCGGAAAATCGTACCAGGCGTTTTAACCGGAAGACTCAAATCTTCGCCAAAAGGTGAACCAACCTGTATCCTGTAATATAATACAAATTTCAAATTATTATATTCTCTATTGAATTGCAAACTTTTACAGTAAATTTTCATAAATATATACACTTGTTTCTCTTTTTATGCGGTAGATATGTTCCACAGGAAAACGCATACAAAAAAATCGCACAAAAAAGGACTAGAAACACGTATAAAAATAAAGGATACGTTCCATATTTTTTTTAAAACCGCATAAAACTAAATCAATGAGTTACAATATACCGAAAATAGACACACGTATAAAAATAAAGGATACGTTCCATAATTTTTTAAAACCGCATAAAACTAAATCAATGAGTTACAATATACCGAAAATCGCATAAAAAAGGGTTTATTAAATTTCAGAAAAAATAATTAGTCTTACTATACTTATTTCTTTCTGATATGTTTATTCATAATTTTATAAAAACGTTAACAATCATAGACAAGTTTATTAAATTTCAGAAAAATATAATCTTAACATATTCCTTCTAAATTTGTACGGAAAAAATTTACAAAAAAAAAATACAGAAAATTTTTATGAAAGTTAATCTTTCTTCACATTTTTTTTCTTTAGAGTTATATGAGAGTGTTTGGCATAATTTGCGAATTGGTTCGAAAACACTTTCATCACTAGAAGAGATAGTCAGCATATCAGATCTATGTCCTGAAGATAATGATTCTTCACAAGTAAAATTAGTCTCAACTTTGAATGTTAATGTTTTCTCTTTGACAATATAATCAGTGATTAAACTTTGCTTTTGGCTTTGCAATTCTGAAGCTCGCGTTGAAACTTGAATGCTCGTTCAGAATTATCATCTTTTTCGATGAAATAGTTTTGCCAATTTGTGTCAAAACGTGTCAAAAATGGCCTAAAATAGTTATTTAAAAAAAAAATGCTTCTTGAAATAAAGACCGCTCATTTTTGTTATAAATCAAGTGGCGGACCTGTTGATAAGACATTACAATTTCTATGCGGAAATTCTGTGGTCGCACATGATTTAAATGTAGGAAGTGGTCATTCCTTTAAAAAAACCTATTTCATATGATTATATATATATCAGTATATATCAATGTGGGAGTTATTTCTACCGCGGCACAACTTGTCTCAAAGGTTGAGAAACATATCATCATATTAAAATAACTGCAAATAATTGATATAATACAATTTTTTGTTAAAAACATAAATTGAATTTGAAGAGTTTTATCATAAATCATTTCCTTTTTATGTTTAGTTTTTCTTGTCTCTAATTTATTCTAATTCTCAAAAAATTAAATAAACTGAAAGAGTAGTATTTCGTAAAACTTATCTTTGTAGACATTAATTAATGTAAGAAATGGCAGTGAATCAATAAAAAAATAACGTAAAAATGAGCAATTAATTTATAACATTGAAATTATTTTATTTATCTAATCTCACCATGGTCTTTGTCCGTTCAGTCCGGAAAATAGGATCACCGAGTAACCGTAATAGGGATTTCTCTCCGTGACAGTATTTAAATATTTATGACTGTCGTTGTAAATCATCGGACTGTCCTTATCGAAATTGAAGCAACAAATCTCCGATGATAAGAAAACTAATATTAGTATTAAATTCACGAACATTTTAGTTAACATCTTGCATTATTCAAGCGCAAATTTCGAATATACACTAACACCGAGTCGGTGAAAATGTCGATTAATATTTGTCGGATGTCGACCACGAAATCCAAGATAAAAAAAAAACACATCCACCATACTTTTGTACTGATTACTTTGTGGTGGAGAAAATTTGAAAGTTTTTAATTGTGATCAAATGAGAATTAGGAAATATTTTTCGTAAATTAAGACTTTACGATCTGAAACAAAGGTATCTGTTGTCTTTTCATTTGAACTTGATAAGTCAACCAAATATTAGTTCAAGTTCCAAATTAATCATTTTTGTAAGATATATTCACTTGGAGGTCATCAGAGAAAAGTTTATAAAAACTACTACGAAAATTGAAAACGTCATGGAGATAATAAGTTCATTCTTTGAAAGTGATAACATACAATGGAAGAACTTTTGTGGAGTGTGTAATGATGAAAAATTAAAGATCTTACATCCCAAGCAAATCTTTTGCAAGAAGTGTTCGACTCTTTGGTGACAATTGTCAATTACATAAAATCTAGTACTCTCAACACTTGTCTGTTTAAAGAACTATTCAAATCATGAACTCTGATCACAAAGGTCACGTTTTTTTTACACTACAGTTCATTGGTTATCAATTAGAAATGTTTTTGAATAGAATAGTTCTTAGGAATAAAAGAGAAACATGAGTATGATGAGGCCTTGATTCAAAGAGTAGCTAATTAATAGATCAGCTAAATTTGAATTTTTAACGCACATTATTAACTTTAGAGATAAAATCGTATTAAAGATGCAAAACTGACGCCATAAAGTAAATCTTGGAAACGTATCCATGAAGACTTAAAAATCGAAGACGGGAATTGTAGATAATATAAGAGAAGAAATTAATATCCAGCTTAAGGCTCTTAAATCTGAAATTCAGCGTTATTTCCCATTTCCCATTTCATGTATCTTCTGGTGTTACCTACATTCCCGATGAAATACAGGATGTATTTTTAGTGCTGCGAGTGATGTATTTCATATCGTAAAGTTTCCATGCATTCTTTTCGAATATTATTGCCATTTGCTTCTACTTACTTCTGCGAAAGTTGATTTTCAACTCTTCTGCAGATCAAGACAAAAGTCAAATGGAAATAAGCTGGATGTTCAAGATGACATGTGATTAGCATTACCAAAAACTCAAGTAATAATTATAACACTTGTTAAGCAGATGCAATTATCACATTATTAATTAAAAAATAATAATAAAAAAAATACATTTTGTGAAACCCTTCATTTAAAAAAAAAAGTTTGGGAACCACTGATATGGTTGATCCCCGTTGACACCATCATAACAAGAAGTTATATTTTTCAGTTTTTCATTCCCTTTCATATTATGTCGTTTCATTCATATGGGAGATATATCCTGTAGTATTTGAAATTTACCAAAAATGTTACTCCTTTTCTACGTTTATTCAAAATAATTTCTTGTATATTTATTCGTTTCTCAAGACTCACAACATATTAGGAACTTTTCCTATATGTTATCTATTATTCTAATAACTTTGAACTGCTCTGACATTATTGGAATATATTTATTTCGTCAAAATCTTTTTATTTCATAAATCCTCAATCTCCTTCTTTTGCATCAGTTGAAAATAATTTGAAAAGAATCAATATTGTTACAGATTTTTCACCGAAAATAGAAAATATTTATGTAAGAAAATACTAAAAAAAAAAACACTGTAAGTATATTTTAGTCATAAAAGATTAAAAATTTGACTTGATTCATTTAAATCCTGCTTAATTAAAAAAAAAACAACAAAAAACTTATCTGAATTCGTCTATTTAATTAACAAATGTATTAAATTAAGACTATTTACGAAGATCAATCTTTTACGGGGATTAATTAAATGAGAAATCCGAATTATGTATACCGCAGTATAATTTAATCGAAACAAATATACACACTTAAAATAAAGAATATGTAAATGTTTTTGTTTGTTTAATATTGTCGGTACATACAAAAAAAAAACATAATCATATATACACATCCATCAATATTTTAATTGATTGTTTTTGTAAATCAATTACATTACAATTTGTTCAGATGAAAACTACAAACATCTTTTTTCTTTCCTCTCATTATTTTTGGCACCATTTTATAAACATCTAAAATAGGTGCTCCAGATATTGTTTATTTATATATATATAACACTTTTATATATTTTTTAAATTCATTTATATAATATATATTTAACAAAAATAGTATACTTAACGAAACAATCCGAAACAGCCAAGTAAATGTATTCCAAATAGAAATTATGTTATATACGAGACAGAAAATTAATGTTGTAATCTCACGCAATTAGCGGTGATATTAGGCATTCGGGTAATGTTAGTGTAACATTTTACATTTTATCAATCATTTCGAGAACATTAATAAATATGACACTTTATTTTCAATACAATTTTCATGTATAATATTCAGAGTTATCCGATTCCGCGGTTCAATTAATAATAAATATACTTTAAACGGTGGCAAATTTTTAACAATAAATTAAACATAAAAATTAAAGGTAACGAAAATCGAATTGAATTTAAACGCAAAACGGTAATTTGTTTATTATTTAAGAAAACGAATTTAGGCTAAAATGAGCAAAAGAAGATACGCAAGGATCGACGAAAATATATCACAAAAACTTAAAATGAAGCTTTAAAATGTGACGAAAAAAAAAAAGTACAGTAAAAGTAGGAGAAGACAGAGCAGTTCAATTGGAATCGGAATCGACGCCAATCTGTTTACGCATATTGAGCCGAGCCTTTTTCACGCGTTTCCTGAACTTTTCGTACTCGTACTCATCGGAACTATCACATTGGTTTTTGGGGAGGGCGGCGGTGGCTCGCTGCCTGCTACCGCCGCTGGAAGAGCAAGGACCCGTTGCGAAACCGCTGTCCACTTCAGTCTGTTGGTGACGATGCTGCTTCCTCGGAGTCACCAGATCGTAGTCACTGTCACTCAAAGAACTCACGTACGTTTCGTAGGCGTTCCCGTGATGCAGCACGCCGACCGCCGACGAACTGGTCGACGTCGAGGCGAACTCCTGGTTATTATTCCTCAGTGCGACCACGTTCGAAGAATTGCCGTTGCTCACCTCCAGCACGCTGACGTACATATCCTGAGTGCCGTTCAACGGCGTCGGAAGGATGTTCATCAGGTTCTCTTGTGAGGAGCGCACCTCCGTCGTGCAGCCGTTTGAAGGAACCTCCTCGTCGGAATCTTGCTCGATGACACGGAACATCGGGTTGTTGTTCGAGGCTGTGATTCCGGTGCTCGTGCTGGGAACGTCCATCGATTGACTCTCGAACTCTCGCGTCGATTGTCTAGTTCGATACTTCTTGTATTTGGATCGTTCCGATTTGTGCTTGCTGCTGCTGCTACTGCCGCCGCCACCACCGCCGTGGTTTTCCTTCTCCGAAGTGTACGTGGACGGCGAGGACGTTCTGTGTCGCTTTCCAGGACCGCATTTCTTTGAGAAACTTTTACCGTGCTTCGATTTAGATTTCCTTGAATTCTTTCTTTTCTTCGGCTTCTCTCTCGTACTGTTTCTAAAATCAAACCAAAATTATAACTTAACGATAGAAAAACCAATGACATATGCGCTAATAAATATTTTGACATAATTTTAATTGAAGTCACATTTCTAACACTGTGACATGATCAAAACTTATTATTGCAAACATAAAGAAAATGATTATCTAACATACAACAGCGGTCGCCAACCCATGAAAATTAAACATAATTTGGATAATTTGAATCAAATTTTGAATGCAACAAACTACAACAATGATTTTTTTTTATATAAAAGTACAACCTAATATGAAATGATACTTTATTTTTGCACCAAAATAAAATTGAAATAAGGCAAAAATTGCAAAAACTAGAATAAAAATATAATGAAACATTGTAATCAAACCAAAATTATAACTTAACGATAGAAAAACCAATGACATATGCGCTGATAAATATGATACAATTAGATCAAGAAAAGGCTTAATCCGTTTTGACATAATTTTAGTTGAAGTCACATTTCTAACACGGTGACATGATCAAAACTTATTATTGCAAACATAAAGAAAATTATTATCTAACATACAACAGCGGTCGCCAACCTAGTGATCCATTAAACATAATTTGGATCAGTTCAATCAAATTTTTGAATGCAGCAAACTACAACAATGATTTTTGTTTTTCTATAAAAGTACAACCTAATATGAAATGATACTTTATTTTTGCACCAAAAAAAATATGGAAATAAGGCAAAAATTGCAAAAACTAGAATAAAAATATAATGGAAACATTGTAATAAACTCAAAAATCAAGATTCTCTCGAAGATCACCTGTTGGCGACTGCTAAAAAAAATTAATAAACAATTGATAAAGAGAAGTATTTATTTATAATTTTTATTGTTCCTATTTGGGTCAAAAGGCTATCATTTCCGACTGAAAACGAAAAAATGACGACTTTCGTTTTATGACAGCTGCGTTATATAATATAGTTAATGGATATTTAACAAAAAAAAATAGTTGAGATACTGCCAAAATAACTTTAAATGCTTCGTTTAAATCATGTTTCCATGGTGAAATACTCGAATGCATGATAATTTACTATGTAAAACTTGAAATATTGTCGTGTCCGACCAATTTATTGTCATCGATTGTATAACTAATATGTATATTTGTTAGGTCTACCACTTTCCTATTAATTATTACAAAGCTTATTTAACGTATCCATCAAACATACAAACGGATACTTGTACGTGATTATTTAGAATAACTTTTTGAAATGAACACATTTTTGTATTATATAATTTAGTCTTAGTTCGGGGAGCGAAGAAAGAAGAAGTCTTAGTCAGAGGACATAAGAGAGAGATGTCCTACTTGGGAGAGTCCAAGGAAGAGTACTTACTTCATAAACACTAACTTAAGAGGAGAATGTAACTCTTAGTTAATAATACCTGTGAGCAACTATTGTTTAGTTGACTTCTCAATAAAACTCCGATGTATACAATAAAGTTAATTAAGAATATTGCATTTAATATTCATATAACTACGAGATAATCCACGGTGTCCAAGGATTTCTTAACCCTGGGACACGACAATATAACAATTTCTTTTACAAAAAATTGGTAATACATACCTCTTGATTATGGCCGTAGACTTCCTGTGTGCCATTTTTGCGAGTCTGTTACGTTTCTGAGCAATGAGTTGCGCTATTCGATTCGGTTTGTATTTTTTGCATACATCTTCTGCGCTCTTCCTGCATCTGGTCAACGATTGCCAAGACATCCTAATACGATCCTGCCAAAAAACAAAAAAAAAATAAGATTAACTGCTTTGAATGTGCATTTTTATTATCTTCATACTGCATCGCTATCACTGTCCGAGGAGAACGTCGCCTCGGATTGCGTGTCCCATCCTTCGATCTCGCGCTGGATGAGCGAATCGAAGAAGGCCATCATTCTGCTGTCTTCGCGCGTGGAATGATCGCTGTAATCGTGCGAAATTCTCTGACCGGAGTGTCCGACCAGGTAAATGTAATCGTCCTGCGAGTAAACGCTGCGCTGATTTTCGATGTGGTCTTTGTCCAACGAACCGGACCACATGCCGATGTGCAAAGTGCTCCATAGCTGAAACAGAAATTTCAAAACACATGAGTTTCAAAGAACGAAAAAGTGCTGTGATTGTAATTAAATATAAACCAATAAACAAATACCTTGATCATTTTTTCAACGCCGGACGAAGCAATCAAATTGTTCCGTCTATTGTAGCGCACCTGATTGACTATCGATCTGTGCCCTCTAAGTACAACATGTGATTGGCCCCATTCTAAATGAAAAGAAAAATAGTTTTAGAAAACGAAGCTTACTGAAAACACAGTGTAGCACCATTGTCTTTCGGAATTTTCCACATGTACAGATTGAAATCGTCGGAACCGGAGAGAACGTACTCGTCATCCTCCCCTGCGAAGCAGCACGTCTTCATCGTGCAAGAGTTGTAGTACTGAGGATGATAGAATTGGCAGACGGCATTCCGACTGTGCGTATCGTAAAGGACGGGCGGCAACCTTCGTCTGAGCGCAAGAACCCTTCTGCCCAGTGAATCGAAGCACGCAGAGATACCGCTGATTTCGCCTGCGTCCTTATCGTAGTGAATGTAACATCTAAAAGAACAGCCGATATAAAAAAAAAACAGATCATTCAATTCCTTTTGAATGGCGCACTCTTTAGGTTTTCGCGTGTCCCACAGGGCGATGCCTTCCTCGGAGTTTGCAGTCACCAGCAGGTAATCGTTCATCGGATTGTACATCACCGAATGGAACCCCATTTTGTACTTGGAGAGGCAGAACGGATCTGAAAATTATTGAGGAAACGCACGATGAATGGACGCGGACGGGCGATCCGCGCCTGGATACGTACCTGACTCGCGGATGTCGTAAATCAAAATCCTGCCGTCGTCTCCTGCTGTAGCCAGGACGTGATCGTTGTGGGGATTTACGCTCAAGCCGTATACGGGCTTTTTGTGCGACAACTTCGTCACCAATTGACCCCTAAAAAAAAAAAAGTTCAAATAACAATTCACGATTTTAAATATGCAAATGCGAATCATCTAATAAACGCAAAGTGCAAATGACGTTGATTGCATTTACTAAATGATTCACATCTTCTCACTTGATATATCAGCGTTTTCCAAACTGTGAGACTCGCGAAGGGGAGACGCGAATATTAGTCACAGTGAGCATGACTGCTAAACTGCGTAGTTACATCACGTTTGGAAAACACTGCTTCATATTATAATACTGCGTCCACACGACGTGATACATCTCAGTGAGCAATGCGTAGGAATTATTATGTGTACATGGCAACGTCAAATACAGGGTTGTATTTAAAAAATATTCAATCGCCATGGAAACGCGATAATAATGTCTCTTGTTTGCACATACTTTTTTAACATATTATTTCTATAAAATGTTCATGAACTTTTCTATTTTGCTTTCATAACAATTAAGAGATTTATATTAATATAATTTGATACTATACTGTTTTTTACACTTTAAATATATAAGTTGCTAAAAACAATGTCATAATTAATTGTTACTATTTTGGCCTGCAATCTACGTATATTTTGTAAGAATATTTCATTGTAATTCTATAATTTGTGCTACAAAATTAATGAAAACTGTAGTATAAAAAAAAAACAACAATCTTTATTATTTTAATCAAAGTGCGAAATTCATACAATTTCATGAACTCTAGCTTAATGCAAAATGTAAATAGCTTCGTGAAAGCGCGCGCCTCACTGTGTACATTCTGCAGTTCCATGGAGTTTCATGGAAATGCATTTAACTGAACAAACGCGAATTTGATTACTCCAGTAAACCGTATTCCTGCAATATCGTATTGTCTCGATCTATATCTATCTATATAACTGGAGCAATATGATACACGAAGAATTCAATTTATCTTTGTTATAGAATACGTGTGTGTGTGGAGTGGAGGAGCAGGAAATTACTTACGATCTAATATCGTGCACGATAACTTGATCATCGTTGCCCCCTGAGAAGATACGTGAGTTTGTCGAATCGAAGGCAAGACAGAATATGTTGCTAAAGTGGTTAGTATTCATTACCACCGGATTGCCCATGTCATGGATTGCCTCAGCCACGGACCACAGCAATACTCTCCTATCATCACCACCTAAAACAACAAATAAATAAACAACAATTAGCTAAATATTCACAATAAACGATAAAATGCATTGATTACTATTGCATTTTACACAATATAACACTTATCGTAATATATGTTTTTTTTTTGTTTGTCCAATGTGTTATTTAAAGTCAAAAATCAAAAAAATATACATTAAACAATGCTTAAGCACCATATTATATATATTAAAGTCAATCTTATTTCTTCCTCTTTATTATATAGTGGATTATGCACAAAGGACAAAGCAAATTTGTAAATAAACGAAGGAAAAGCTAAATCAGCGTTTTTCAACGTGTGGAAATCAAGAAAGTTTGTCCAAATTCAATATTATATAAAATACTTTTCAACAGATTACTGCATGCCTTTACGCAATGTATTAAGTTTAAGAATCACTGTTTCACCTAAATATACAATAAAGAAAAAAGGGCATTTTTCGATTCCAAAAAATGTATCCTACTATTCTATGTTTACTTGTAATTATTTTATTATTTTTATTAGCAATAAATGTTTAAAAAAACAATTTCACGGTATGAAATATAGATAGATATAACAATAAATATAATTTCAATTGCAATTAACATTGATTTATAACAATGAGAATAATAATAATTGTTATAATTGAACAACTCAGAAATGAAGACTTTATAAAAATATGATGAATTCAATTACAAAGTTACATATGGAATAACCACTTGATCGTAGTATTTACTTAAATATTTGTATGTAAGTTGGTAAGAAATTTTGAAAAAAAATATATCTTATACAAAAATTATGTTGGTATTATTCTCACCATAGCTGTTTAAACGTCGTTTTTTTTTTAAGAAGAAATAAGATTGATTTTAATATAGATATTTTTATATAATACCGTGTTATAAGTATACCGCTTATCGCAATGTTTATTACTTATATGGAAATCGCGTTATAGGAGAGTTCAATGAGAGTTATATAATATAAATATATAATTTTACTGTCGAATAAGTGCCAACTACGTAATATTGACAAATAATATGACAAGAGGACAAAAATGTTACTAACTCTGAAAATTGAATGTATGTGTTTATAAATAAAAAGCAATGTATGTTTGCCAACAATAAATAAAATAAACACTACTAATGATTGCTTATCTAGAAAGTACGAAGTGATTCGTTAAATTCGTCTTTGTCTATAAACGACGCTATAGTATATTTATCAGTAGACCAAAGAACATTATTCAGAACTTGGACTCGGGCCCGCATTAAGGTTGTTGTAGGACCGAGGCACCAGGCCTACCAACCGAAATCCCGACTATATCGAAATCCCGACAATCTAAAACTTAATAAGATTATTAATTGTTGTTATTTATTGTTAATAACATAAACTAATTTTATTATAGCATATTTCTTATTCTTAAATTTTATATTGAATAAGTCAACGAAAAAAAAAAATACAATAATAATTAATATTAAATAACAACAATTAATAATCGGGCAAAAGAGGTCTTAAAAATTTTTTTTTTCAGTATTCGTCGTACCTTTTAAAATATAGTACAATAATTGAAAAATGTTATTGTAGAAATTATAATAATAAAAGACTCTGTCGGGATTTCGATTGTCGAGATTATGGTTGTCGGGATTTCGATATAATCGGGATTTCAATAGACTTAAAACTCTCATGGGCCATAGAAACTTTGCCTAATGGATAAGACGACTTAAACTATCTCATACTATCCAATCTACATAAATATTCTTTGTAAAATACGAAACAAATTCCAGTTTAATAAAATAATTTCATTCAATTGACATTTTACTATTTCTTTCATAATAAGAAAAACTTAAAATCGTTTAATACAGTTATTAAACTTCAATTAATTACAAATGTCTCAAAGCAAAACCGTTCAGATTTCCCAACTAATAACATATAAAAAGGCAATCACCCATAATTAATAATAAAAATTGTAAACGTTTCTTTTTTTTAATTTTCTGAAATTAATTATTTTCGGCGAAAAAAATTAAAATTATTCATTATTTTTTCAATTAAACAATTAAACAAAGTAATTTGTATAAAAATTACTAAAGCCACCGCCTAGAAATAAATTTAAAAAAAAAATAGACAACCAAAAACGATAAAATCAATAAATATTTTGCAAATTGATGAATGTGTATAAATAAAATATAAATATGTTGCATAGGCATAAACGAATTAAAGATTATTAAGTCGAAAATGCGTCATTAACAAAAAAATTCTTTTAATATGATTATAACCAAGAGATTTTATACTTGTATTTATGAGATTTTTTATGTTTCAAAGTTGAATAAATAACGAAGAAAGATTTTAGGTTAATCCATAAGTCTTTTTCATTTGATTCCAATTATTTTTCCACCAGACTTGCACACAACTAACTGTTATTAGACAGCAAAAGCAGACGTAGATAATAATAATTGATATTTTAACAGCAGATAAATAATTATATTAACAGATCGTCGCATGTAAATAATAATGGAAATTACAAGGTGATGTTAAAAATAACGTAACGTGTTTGCATTTACAGAATAGATATTGATAAGGACGCCATGTTAAAACGTAATCGTATATTGCGAAAAATGTAAATCATTGAAAAAAAATAATTTAATGAATTAAATATTTAAATTATTGATATTGTTTTCGGAAAAAAAAAAAATTAACAAAAGTTGGTTGTTTTTGTTAATTTTTGAGACAATTGTTGATGCTTTTTTTTTTTCAGAGTGTGAAATTTGTAGGTTTATTAATGAAAATGTGGTTGTTTTCGTGGAAACGTACGTCTGTGAATAGGGATCGTCGGTTGGGATAGATCAGGTACGGGATTTAGGAGGGTTGATGGTAAAGATGTTGAGGAAGACAAAGATAAACAGACAGACCTGATATGAGAAGTTCTCCTTCGCTGGAGAACTCGATGGCGTTGACACAGCCATAGTGTGCGAGCAGATCCTTCCTGTAGAGGTTCCTCGCGACGGACAGTCGCCCTCTGAACAGGTTGGCCCTTATCCCTTCGACCTTACCATCGTATTGTCTGTTGACGATGTAAGTCAATGGGTTCACAACGGAGCGGTCCTCCATCGCCGGCCCTGCCCTTCTTCTCTTACAAACGCAGCTTTTCCTCCTCCTCCTCACGAAAAGCAACGACTTTTATTCTTTTTCTTTAAAAGCAAAACTTCCGAAGCAGCGACGACGAACAACAGTAACGAAAAAAAGGTTAGCTCGCGCCGCGAAGACGACGTTCGACAATCCAAACTGGACAGGATCGTCGTCCCGCAAAACGTCAAACAAGCTTCATCTGTCACTATCAGCTGTGTCTGCTCTTCGGCTAGACTCGGCTCACGATCGGCTCATCCTCCCACCTACCTGCTTCACCCAACAAAAACAAGAATTCCCGAGAAATAACACCGAAAGAACATAAATTCACAATGAAACCATAGAATATCTTAACAATTGTTATTCTACTACAATAAAAAGAGCTACCGTTGCGACCGTTTTACAGTTCACGTTGTTGTATTTTGACAACTCAACGATATTTTATTAGTCTGTTGGTCATCTGTTTATAGACTTAAATACACATCAACCATACCAACTACAACTAGTAATAATTATTTAGTCAAAAATGATAATTTTTTTATATAATTACAGCCAACTTTTCGGTGCAATTGATTCGATACCCTGAAACTTTGTAAACCTGATACAATAATGCAAATATTCACAATACGAGTGTGAAACTACAATGTATTGGCATATCTTTGAGCAAGATTCATTGCAATTTGTGACTACTTTTTTTACAATCCGCAGATACAATTTTAAAGTTAACAATGGAAATTTAACAATTATTATAGATATATTCGCACATGCGGAATTTACAAATTAATTTGTTCACAAGTCATAATAAACCGCAATTATGTGGAACATGAAACGACTTTCAGTCTCACATCTTTCAGTCTTTGAGTCTCACATTACGCATAGTGTGGGTGCAGCATTATACCATAATTTCAATATAACAATTTGTTTGTATCATTAAATTTTCTTATTTTCATTATAATTTTAAAACAGAAACACTTTGATTAATGCATAATCTTTTAGTTTTTTAACATTTATACTACAGGAATTAATTAAATTTCTAACATCCTCTTCATTTATTATTTCTTGTATGTTATTTTCTTCTTATTTTACAACTTATGATCATCATATTTTGCGCCAAATTCCATTATTTCATGTTCTCTGAAAATTACGGACTTATGTTATCGCAAGCAACGTTAAACGAGGTATGACTGTACAAATATATAGAATAAAAGAACTTATTTTACAAATGTCCATTATTTTAAATATTTGTATTTTTCCAAAGCAAACATAATTCTACATTCCAATATATCTAATATTTTCTTTTTAATAGTAAAATGTTATAAAATTGTATTTGCTAAACAAAAGGTTTAAGTAGGGTTTTATCATTTGTTTGCTGTTTAATAATTCCATTCATATCTGAGGTTATCAATCAGGAGATTTGTTTTGCTCTATGTTCAAACATAAACATATTTTTTCTTTAAATTTCAATGCAAGTGTTTATTTAGACCAGAGGTTCCCAAACTTTTTTGTGTCGTAGACCCCTTTGCCATGTTTTTCGGTTTTTGGTAGACCCCTTACATACCTGATATTGATTTTTTTGTAAATTTCTAACTGTAGTGAAGTTAAAAAGTTAAAGTAAAAACACATGTTAAGTTTTATACATAAATTAAAACTACTCAAAATAAAATTTTGTATCTGTTATATAAAATATAGGTAACATAAAATAAACTAAGCAATAAGTAAATGTTTTTAGTGAGAAGGATGAACCTGATGCTTTAATAAGAAATTATCAACATTTGGCATCAATTTTGTAAGGTTTAATCTTAAATCTCCTCGTCTAATTTCTTTCAGTCTGTTTCTTTTTTTCGCTTTGCAGGTTCTTATAGACCCCTGGAAATCGATATAGACCACTTTGAGAATCATTGATTTAGACATTCACACAACTAATAATCTTTTCTACATATCCATTTCATGTGTCATCTTTTTTTATGTTATTAATGTAAATGCAAATGTTAATAATAATAATAATTAATTAAATTTCAGTTTCTTTCCTTGTGGGAAACCCTTCTTACTTCTGGTGTTCAATTATTAAACTATTGTCTGTGAAAACAAAATTATTAAATAAAATAAATTGATATACAAAATTTATTTCATTCATCGCAATATTGCACAAATGATATTTGTCTAAATAAATTTGTATACATGATTATCAATTCATTTTGGATTGGCAATATTTATTTTATCAAACAATGCACAGTTTTATAGAAATCAGTCAGTGACACTAATTTGTATTGTTTAATAATCTATTATCTCGTAGACTATTTAAATAGAATAAAAGATAAAGTATCAAAGCAAACATAAAATAAAACTAATAATTCTTATTTTAAATAAATTATATACTATTGTTTACTATCATTATTGAAATCGCTGAAATTGTCATATGTTGTTCTCATGCATAGTTTTGAGTATATTATAAAAAAAATACGCTTAAATAATTAGCATTAATTGCATGAGAAAAAATACTAATTGGGATGTTTTTACTTCATCCTATTTTTTTTAATTTCTAACTAAATCAGCAAAAAATTAGTAAACCAATAATTGCAGTAGTTGACGTTTTATTTTATTTTTATTATTTATTGCTGGAAAAAAAAATAAGATTTTTCGTAAATTTAATGTAAAAATAAACATCTCTCGTTATATCTAAAATAGATTTAAATGATTAATTTTTATTTCTATTATTGTTAGATTCAATGTGAATCTTCAGGCCGGTCCAGGTGCGGAAGTTGATATTGCCGTGCACGTGTCCGTTCGTATTTCGGAAGGATACGTAGCGAGGAATTCGTTCCAAAACGGTGAATGGGGCGACGAGGAGGATAAAGGTGATCTGCTCATTGGGGCAGGTCAAAAGTTCGAGATTATCATCCTGTGCGGATCGACAGATTACAAAGTGAGTCAAATGACAATTATCAATGTCAATGATAACATTTTTTTTTTCAAAATTAATGTAGATTGCCATGAATGGAAAGCATTTCTGCGAGTTTCCACAACGCGTTTCTCCGAGATCAACATCGCACTTGTTCATCGATGGAGACGTCTCGCTTACATTGATCTCGTTCGAAGGTGGAGATGAGATGACCTCATCTTCGGCTTCTTCTCAGCAATCCGTTGGAGCTCCATCGTTCCAGGGTCAGTATGGACCTCCTCAGGGTCAGTACGGACCTCCTCAGGGTCAGTATGGACCTCCTCAGGGTCAGTATGGACCTCCTCAGGGTCAGTACGGACCTCCGCAGGGTCAATATGGTCCTCCGCAACAAGGCTATGGACCACCGCCACCACCAGGTCAGCACGAAGAACAATCCAGCGGTTTCGACTTCCTGGGGACAGCAGGATCGGTGATTGCTGGAGCAATCAGCTCGGGGATGGCTGAAAAGTTGATCGGTTCTTTGACGAGCGGAGGAAACCAACAACAAGGCGTAAGCATTTAGTGAAAAAAAAAATAATAATCTTATATATTGATGGATGTTTGAGTAGTCTCAGCAGCAGCAAAACCCAAATAATCAGCAACAGCAACAATACCAGCAGCAACCGAATCAACTGCAAAATCAGCAGAATTTCAGTTTGCCCCAATTGGGTGGACACGGATCGATCGGTGGTCTGGGCAGCGTTGGTTCCTTATTGACTGGATTCGCAGAACAACTATTGCAGCCGAAAAAGGTGATTATTGATCGCTCTAATTAGCATATAGATATTAAGGTCAACTGAATCTAACAATTGAACACCTTAAATTTCAGGAGGGACACCATTGACGTGAATCAACCGCTAGATTTGACGGAAGCATTTTTATTTGTGTCTCAATCTCTCTCTCTACGTTATGCTTTAAATTATTATATTAATTAAGAAACGCACATCTATTAATAATTATTTATTTCGTTATATACGTTGTGGGACATTTTATGGTTGTTGTAATTGAAATGTTAGTGAGAGTGCCTTTATTGATCAAGTAACGAGAACTTTTGTAATTGTCGTTGTTTTGTTTATATATTTTCTTAAAGATTTGGCGCATTTAGCGAACTTAAACTAAATAAATGATCTTGTTCAGACAACATATTTTTCTTTCCATATTCACATACAGTTATATAGAACTTAGAAAGAACTTTACTGAATTG